TGATAGGGTTGGTGTAGCTCCTGTGACAGACAAAATTAGAGAAAGTCGTCTTAGATGGTTTGGTCATATTAAACGTCGACCATTAGATGATCCTATTAGGAGAGTAGATGTTTTAAATTTGACTTGTGTTAAAAAAGGCAGAGGTAGACCTAGGAAGACTTGGGCTTATTGTATTAAAAATGATCTTAATTTACTAGAACTAAATGAAAATATGACACTAAATAGGACGCAATGGAGAAAAAGGATTCATGTAGCCAACCCCACGTTGTGGGATTAAGGATTTGTTGTTGTTGTTGTTGTTGTATTTTTGGATCATTATTTTATCTTCGTGTATAACCATGCTTTATTTTACCTGATCAACGAATTAGTAGACAAACTATTTTTGTTGATCACAGTTTGGTGATTTAAAACATAATTTATAACTAATCGAGTATTTTACTAGTAACTGTCAATCTTTGATCTCAAATTAGCTATTAAAAAACTAATTAGTTGTGATTAGTTTATTTCCAAGTATAGTTTTTCACTAATTATTTGTAAAATCACCTTGATAGTTGCAATTAAATCCGCAAACTCTAATCCTGGATAATTTTGTAATTTGTAGTTGATTGTTCTCGGTAACCTTTTAGAGTGATTGGCTATAACCTTAAGCAAAGGACGATTTAAGGCGACACAACCATGATTAGCTAGTAATCAACTACTTCCAAATAATTATATCATATTAATGTGGCCTTCTATGAAAAACAATATATTCATCCTAGGCGTTCGGAATCTAAATGTAAACATGTTCTTTTCCTTTCTCATATTGTCATACATGTCTTAGGTAGCAGGTGATGATAGAGTTGCATCATTTAAGCTATGATTGATGATGATGACTTGAATTGAAGAGATGTAAATAAAATACTATAATAAAGGCTTGATAACATGCAAGTTGTCATCAAATCATAATAAATCAAAATTTAGATAGTTTTAATCATAATAATACCCTTATTCTAAATGGAGACGCTATCATCAAGGGTTCTTTTGCACCAAAGGATTGAAATCATATTGAATAACATAAGAAATAACTTGAAGTAATAAATGGTAGTAGCAGAAAGGAGAAAAGTTTCAATATTGTTCCCTGACTCTTTGCAGAAGGCCATTTTAGTCTTCATGCTTTTTTAGTATGGGTTGAAATAGTCCCCAATGAGAACTATTTTAGCCCTCATGGACTAAAACACTTTTTAAACTCTAGGACTAAAATGATCCAATGAAAATAGTTAGGAGGCCTTTTCGGCACTTTACTACAAACTACAACCATGAAATAAATAAAATTTGAGTGTGGGTTGGAGGATGTCCATTATTTTCCCTAATCTTCAAATCAGTCAACTTTGAGGAGCAATTAAAATTATGCATAAGACATAATGGCCGCAGAACTGATCCGACCATGAAGCATTAATAATGGTAGTTACATCCAACGAGCTAGCAGTCCCTGCAGTTAAGAAGGTTTGTCGGTAAGCTCTAATTCATTTGATGTCAGAGAAGGAAGTTGTGAAAGAATTGTCAATGGGTTGCTCTTGAAGAAAACAACACTCCACCTTATTGGTATCAAAGCAAAAAGTACTAGGCTTGAATTTACCGGACAAGCTCACTAATTCTTATCGTAAGTATGCCTCAGCGTACAGACAACATTTGCTTGATATGATTACAAACAAGTGTAGTGTTGAGTGATTTTCTTACATTTGAGTGCTTACCAATCTGAAGAAGTAATTACTTATATTGATTTGCATTCATAGGAAGTTTAGACCACAGAGTCACGTAAAACTTTATTGATATTAGGGGAAATTTAATTATAATAAATTCAATCTATCAGATGAGAAGTTCTGAAGTCCTCGCATATGAGGGCTCATTAGCTTTTTTGAGTAATTTTAAAATTTATTTTAGCCTGAAATCTAACTAAATTAAATTTTTAGGTTTTGAATTTTTGCTGTAGTGATACCGGAGTTAACCCAAACAACAATAGACAAACTAATATTATTACTGGAAAAGCTTACAACCAACATACTAAAAGGAAAATTACAATACATAACGAAAATCTGAAATTGCTACAAATGACAACACTAAATCAACTAGGTTGAATCTTGGGGTGGTAGTGGTGATCGACGAGGATTTAGACCTCCAGAGAGGTTGTAAAGGGCAGTTGGAAGGCCGATAGCCCTAGGTTGTGGCAGCAAAGTTGAGGGGCTGGATAGCGGCCGAATAACAGAGGAAGTGCTATTCTGGACTGCAACAAGAAGGGAGGAGGGCGGTGATGCGGTGGACTGCAGAACAACGAAAGGATGGCTGCCTGTGATAGCAAAATCAAAGAAAAAGTGGGAAGCTGCAGGAGAAACAACGACATGTGGTTGTTTGGGTGGTTGCAACAGGGAAGGGGCGGTCGGGAGCGAGGTGGGGAGGATGCAGAAAGGGAATAAAGAAAATAATCACATCAGGAGCGAAGTACAACCAGAGCACCACACAAATCTTTTAGATAGCTCTCAAAGAGAAAAAGAGATGTCGGTGGCTGTCCCAACTTCAGGAGCGAAGTACAACCAAAGCACCACACAAATCTTTTACATAACTCTCAAAGAGAAAAAGAGATGTCGGTGGCTGTCCCGATACAAAACATACTAAAAATTGAAAATTTAAAACACAAGAAGCAATTGTATATGCTTGTTGACCTCACTTTTGTAAGGGCCTTACCTAAAGACTTGACCTTGGGGCTTTCCTAGTAGCATTCCTAAATGAAGAAAGGAACTACTTGCCTACATGGAGCCCCAGACCAAGACCTTGTTCACTTGGGTCTTATGAGGTTAAGCCCAGAACCTCAACCCCTGGTTGAGTTGGTTTAGGGTTTTGGCCCAATAAAGACCCAAGCTGACCTCTTCTTAGTAAAACATGCCCTGGGCCACCAATGAAACCCAAAACCCTAGGAATCTCTCTATGGACCCTAGGACCCCCCATAACACAAAAACTTCCAAAGGGAAGGAACACCTACTTAAATTGATCCTCAACTTCACCTAAGGCCTTCCCAACCCCCCAATGGATCCTAAAATCAACATGAAGGGCCAACACAACAATTTGATCCCAAGGCTTGAAGGCACTATGGGTGGCCAAATTAAATTGGGTCCATCCCAATTTTAAGTCAATTCTTGACCATTTGACCCCATTGCCACAAGATTAAGCCCCACTCAAAGTGGTCAAGACATCAAAGCAAACCACCTATGAGTCAAATTGGCACCATGAGGTCAACCCCATAATTTACCTAATTATTTAATTTGGGAAATTATGAAAACCTGTTGGGCTTAAATTCTTGGGCTAAGTCTAAACACACCTAGGTTAGCCCTAAATCCAGAAACCAAGCTCATGACCCATTTCCCCCATGGCCCATCTTTCCCATGGCCCTTCCTCCATGGGTTACCTATGACTCAACCATGACACACCAAGACATGTGGGTGACACAAGAGCCAAACCAAACTAAATCCAAGCACTAGATGACAAAATTTCACCACTTACTATGAGGGGTGAACACATGACACCCAAGTCAAGTTCAAAGCTTGGGGAGCCAAACCAGGCCAAGGTGGGTCAAGCCAGACCAAAATTGGTCTTAGCCACCCCATCAAAAGCCTCCCCAATCACGCTAAGCCCTTGTCATGCCGCCTTCTCCACCATTGGTGCCACCATGGTCAGGACATCAAAAAATAGAAAAGCTTTGCTCCACTGCTCAAA